TTTAACTCCAATTTCCTGTGTCTCCCTGGGAATGAAAGAGTAAACTTAGAGTCAGAGCAGAYATCAGGGTTGATGAAAAGCTTTCCAACATCAAAAGCTCCCAAACYCTGAGCTCTCTTTGAAGACTTTAGAGCTGTGTGTTCATGTACTGTTGACTACACAGATTAGTCCATTATTGCTGATGCTGTTCAAGCCAGTGGGGATTTTCCCACTAATATAATTCTCATGTTATTACTGATGCATGACATGAAATTAATTATACCCTCAAATGACTTCATTCAATGAGAATTGTATTAGCAACAATGAAAATTACAAAATAACTGTTTTCTTCATTTTTCAAATTTGATTGAAATATATATTTTAAAAATTTTAAATGACAAAATCATAAAAATAACCCTTTGGAAAACGAATGCAGGTCAGCCACCTTGAAGACACATCAAARCATAATGGCATGCCCTTTTAAAATGACTTCAACTCCCCCCTTTTTCTTTTTAGAAAAAAAGCACCTTTTCAAAATAAATTGATGCTCCTGCAAGTCCCTTGTCTCTGACAAATAATCCAACGTTCTCTACAGCTTTATTTCTGCAGGGAACACTAGAGTCAAAACAGCAGGTATGCGTACCTGCTATAGCGGCAGCAAAAATTTGTCAATTTATATCTAGTGATTTGGCCCTGCTCTGTTCCTAGCCTTAAATAAGCATCAAAGGAATGCCTTAGACAGGCAGAGGCAAGAACCCCCTGGGGTCCAAAACAGAGCAGCATCAGTGACAACAGCCATTTCATTATTTAAGTCAAACAAAAGGAGAGCTGTGATTGAGGCTTGTTGAAAATCATCTCATAGCAGAGGAAAGCTAAAGCGGCCTAAATACTGCATGCTGTGATTTCCTAAACTGAATGTCTAAAGGAATAGCAGCTGATCAATCAGTCAATGTCAATTTGTACTGGAATCAAAGACAAGCTGTATTAAGTACTGTTGCTCTCAGCTTCTACAGGCAAAGTTTTAATTTTGTTAAGGGAATTCATATTGAATTAAATTAAATTGGGGGGGGGGGTGTACGTTTTTAACTAACAGATGAAAAGAAAGATTAATTACGACCATGGGTCACTTTTTTTGAAAATTAAAAATATGTAAGAGATTAAAAAATAGTTTCAGAAATAATACAGGCCAAGCAGTATCTCATCTAAATTCAAGCTCTGTTCCAGTTGTACTTGGAGGTCGGAATTTCTGAAATTCCAAGTTGTAAATATCAACTAGAGAAGCCCCTAATGTTGTAATTTCGAGTTGGGAAGTTGGTGCAACACGACCATACCTGAACACACATGATGTCATCATTTCAACATGGCTGCTCATCATATCAACAGAGTGAAACTCCTTAATTTCACAGTTTTTAGCAGTTCTGTGTTGTTAACTTTGCATTAAGTCAGCCATACTTGTAGTACTTCATAGCAATATGTTTTAATTCTGTTTGTACACTTAACATTCAGAGTAGAACACTATTGTGTTGTTGCATTATTGTGTCAGAGCAACAGACAGAAGGGCTTTTTTTCCATGTTCTGACAAGCTGGAAACTGGAATTATTTTGGAACTGACGTCAGTCCATCTTTACAGTTTAAAGTTTTGCCACAGCTAGAACGCAGCATAAGACCAGTAAAACATATTCAAAAATATTTATCATGTTTGCCAGTGTGTGAGTAAACCCAAACGCAAGGACCAGATGGGAAAAAAAACTCAAAAAGGTAAAAATAAAAGTCATTTATTACCAAAAAGAGAAAAAAAAGCTGACCTGGCAGCTAAAACCCTTWACAGAAAACTTCTAAAAATATACACAATAAAACTTCTCAAACATGAGGCGGGGGAAAACACAGACAGGCTTCGTAACATAATGCACCAGTGAGACACAAGACAAAGTGACAGAGTTTTAAAGGGACAAGACTGATGAGGGGGATGACAAACACCTGGGGATGAGAACAAGGAACAGGCACAAGTGGGAGGGAAAGCTGAAAACCAAACCCACAGATACTAAATGACCCACATATCCTGACAACCTTGGTCATATCATTAAAACCAGGGCTCTAGACTAACTTTTTGCACTGGTTGCACCAGTGCGCCAAACATTTTTTCTTAGGCGCACCATCACAAAAGTTAGGTGCACCCAAATTTTCAACCACATCACCTAACATCAGAGTTTTACAAGTTATTTTTTAAATCACTGTTCACTAAGGCAACATTAACGCGAAAATAATTAGTTAACAATATAGTAAATATAAAGTTCTTTATTTGAACCAGAACTGTACAAGACCTATAACTTACAGAAAAGTATTTAAAGTGATTCTATAAAATTTTAATTGCAAATATTTAAGGGCTGAATGTCTTATAAACAGATTAAACATTTAATGGTGACGTTTTTTTAGACACCTGCCCCTCAGATGGACAACTATGGATCTTTGGCCTTGGATAAACCAGAATGATGAACAGAGAATAATGATTAATAACAGAAATATTACTGATATTTATTAAGGGTTGTGCAGATTTTTTAAATAATAACACATAAAAGTCTGCAATTTCAGCATTAGTTGAATCTCATAATCTTATATTACTTCACTTAAATATCTAATATGTCTAGTTTTATCCTCCTGAGACCCAGAAGAAACTAGAAGTGCAAAAGCGGCCTGCCATACAGTTGAGCTTCCTTGTCCTGCTGAAATAATCTGCAGCTCTCAGACCCCGACTGTTAAATTAACAAGATGGACGAGCGAGCAACCATCTTCATCTTATTTTCATCTCCAGCTAACAAGAAATAACTGTTTGTCAGACTCCGATCTGGGTAAAAAAAATAAATAAATAAAAAAAATAAACTCTGGTTGTTTCGCTATGCGTGCACACATGTGTGTGTGTGTGTGTGTGTGTGTGTGTGTGTGTGTGTGTGTGTGTGTGTGTGTGTGTGTGTGT